ATGCATTGCAATATTAGTGCAGTAGTTATATCCGTGATGCAGGAATCTCATAATTAGTGTTTTGGGATTATTGTTATATTATGAATAGGTAAAGTGTAATGAACACTTATCAGCGGTCAATAATAACCCACATGGAGACAGCAGCACAGGACATTGATTGATCTGTATATTTTGACCCCCTTCTGGGATCCTCGTCAACAGGAGTTCCCCTCACGAGAGGTTCCTTGACTGGTGAGGGGCTCTTGATCTAGGGAATTGGATCTGTGCTCCAGTTTCCTGAATTATGCCTGAGTGCCTTCCACACCAGTCGACTGGTGTGGGTCGCATCCTGGGGGACAAGATTAAGGACCACAATGGAAATAAGTTAGACAGTCCTCGATGACACACTGACTTTCTTGGGTTATCCTGGGTGGCTAACCCTCCGGGGTTAAAAATCCGAACGAAATCTTATCTTATCTTATCTTATGGGTTTAGCACTCCTCCATAATAAATAATCTTCAACGGGGGATTGAAATATACAGATCAATCAACCTCCTGTGTTGCTGTCTCCATGTGGGTTATTACTGAGCATATTATATTTGCAAAAGTATTAAGCCCATATAAGTTGTTCATTGCTGATATTTGGGACTGGAATTAGTGTTAATAACTTGGATATTCCCATATATTATGAAGTTTTTGTATGGTCATCTATCAATATGTTTCCAGAGTTCTTCATTTCTAGTTTATATTACCATTATTAAATATAATGCTTTGTTTAGATAATGTCTGCATAATGCTGGAATTCTAATAGCAATACTGGTGCTCTCCTATATATATTTGTCCAGGATATGACTTCCAGGGCTGTTGTAGTTGTATAGCATCATTCATCACTATTAACACTATGCATCTTCACAGCATCATTCATTATTACTACTCACCATCTTTACATCACAGCATCATTCATTATTACTACTCACCATCTTTACATCACAGCATCATTCATTATTACTACTCACCATCTTTACATCACAGCATCATTCATTATTACTACTCACCATCTTTACATCACAGCATCATTCATTATTACTACTCACCATCTTTACATCACAGCATCATTCATTATTACTACTCACCATCTTTACATCACAGCATCATTCATTATTACTACTCACCATCTTTACATCACAGCATCATTCATTATTACTACTCACCATCTTTACATCACAGCATCATTCATTATTACTACTCACCATCTTTACATCACAGCATCATTTTTAACTAACACTAACATGTCTGTAATCTGTGGGTTAGTTGTAAATTGCTCCAGCCCCAGGCCGGGCAGAACAACACTCAGAACTGATCACAGGTATAACACAGATACCATATGTCTTTCATGTATATTAAAAGCTATTTTTTTCAGTTATAAGTAACGCTTTTATATACTTAACAGTCCAGCTTGGGGTGGTCGTCGGTGCCGGGGTAAGAGAGAAGAGTGGCAGGTGTGTAGTGTGGAGGAGTGCCCACTGCCTCACCAGGACTTTAGGGCCCAGCAGTGTGCCCGCATCACTCGCATTGTTAATCTAGATCCACGTAGAGCTGCGCTCACCTGGCTCCCATATGAGGCTAAGAGATGTGAGTATAACTATACACACTGGTGAAGAAATAGACACATTTGCAACATCTGGGTGTCTGTATTTGTAGTGATAAAGCCACTGGATAGCAAAACATTAAATGTTGCACATGTATCTAATTCTTTATCTTGTTAGTATTGTATACCATACATGTACAACTACTAACAGTATTTGTAGCTACAGTAACAGATCTGTACTCATGGTGCCTCATCTTAAGTCATTCCGGTCTTCCATTATAGTATCCCATCAACTTTTCCAGCATAAAGTCAAATTTTCATGGGTCACATTCAGTGAATTGTTTGAACATTTGTGCAGCATCGAGAAGGTTTCCAAATACATAAATTAGACAGTCAAACCCAAAGTTCCTTGACTTGACTGATTGACAGATATGTACATCATCCATGATACCACAACCAGGTAAGTAGGTACCTGAGTGTTAGTCAACTGGTGTGGGTGGCATCCTGGGGGGTGGTAGTATACCTTAGATAGTGCCGGGCTATCAAATGAGTTGAGGTAGGATAATGGCTCTTAGCTTGTAAAATTGACTTGTGTGTGTAAAGAAATTAGAGCATGAATCTTAAGGCCTTTTCAAATGCCATTTTATGGTGCATTAGAGGGGGCTGTATGTGAATAGTTTCTTAATAAAATTAACTTGTTTATAATTCTCTGCACTAAGTAAAAATAGTTAAAAAAAATTCCCTGAATATACTGTTTTTTTTAACACCCAGGCAGGGTAACCCTAACCCTTTCAGGGTCCAAGGCCCAAATCTGGAGTCACGCACCAGTGTCCAAGAATTTTCCAAAAAAAAATTTTTTATTTTTTCTTATGAAATCGTAGAGAATCTTTTTGTGAAGGTAATAAAACAAAAAGTACGAAATTTGGTGGAAAATTGACGAAATTATGCTCTCGCGAATTTTGATGTGTCAGCGATATTTACGAATCGGCGATTTTGCCGACTTTGACTCCCATTTTACGCCAATTACATTATTCCAATCAACCAAATTCTTAGCTATTTCACTAGTATTACTTCTATTCTATCGATTGAGCACAAGAAATCGCCAAGTCAACTGTTTCAACTACAAAATAAAGTGATCGGAAATTGTTAATTTGGCCAATTTAACACAAAGTTCAAAATATTCCAATTTCAAAATAGGGTCCAGAATAAACAATGTAGGCATTCCTGGCACTAAACTAACATTTCCTCTGTTCATTAGTCATGTTTTGAGGCTTTACAAATAAATTCCATTTTGATTTTTTATTCACATAATGAATTTTTATTCACACCAAAAAATAGAAGATTTACTGCTATGCAATACTGTAATAATTGTATAAATATCATCACCATATTTGTGAATGTATATTAGACCCACCAGCTGATGTGTATTAGACGTGTGAGGTCGTTTGTTTACTCTTGAATATCGGCAAAAATTTAACATTTCCGCTACTTTGAGCTCAGTTTCAAGCCATTTCCAGTGCTAAAACCAATCAAAATCATCTCTATTTCTGTAATATGTCTTCCATTCTATCAAATGAGACCAAGAAATCGCAAATACAACTATAAAAAACATACGAAAAAACTGCAAAGTTGCTGTTTTAATCAAAAAATCATGATTTCAGTTTTTTTCTCTAATTATATACAGTGTGCTGCAGGATCTGTTTTATGTGGTGCACACATACCACATAGATGTATTCTCTCATATCTAGGCCCAAATGTACCACTCACAGTTTATCAGAGTGAGCTGAGCTCATGGCGTAGATCTACGGTTTGGACACTCACCATAAAGCCGTAGATCTACGGGACGGACCCTGAAAGGGCTAAAAGCAAATACTTTCACCATTATTCACACTATCACTATCTTGAAGAGTCGCGCAGATATGACATTTCGGATGTCACTCCAAACGGCAAATATCTCAACCCCTCCATTAGAGTGCATATATTAAATGAAAAATATTTTTCAGATAAAAAGAGGTGCCGTATTTCCTGCTATAGCCATAGCACTAACGAGGTCTACATCGGTCGAGAATACGTAACAGACGGGACGCGATGCTCTTACGACCAACCCAATGATATATGTGTTCAGGTAATGAAAAAATCATTGTTGTATTAACTGTGAGAAGCAATTCATATGCATGGATCATGCTCAGTGAATTATTAGTTTATTCAGGTAGAGGTACACATAAATACAGTTACATAAATTATCATACATACCAGCATATGCAGAACAACCACTGTGAAAAAAATAGCGAAATTCCAAGCACTTTCATGACGTCTCACATTATCAAGGAACTATATATATAATTCCTTGATAATGTGAGAAGTTATGAAAGTGCTTGGAATTTTGCTATTTTTTTCACAGTGGTTGTTCTGCATATTGTGATATCACCTGTTTACTGTGATCTTATTGCATAGTAGCATATGTGTAAATTACCCGCCAGGATAACCCTAAAAAAAAGTCAGTGACTTATTTCTATTGGAGTCCTTGACTTATTTCCATTGTTGGTCTATATGTGCATCATAGAGAAGGTTTCCAAATGAGGCAGAGAGATTTGTAGTCCCTAACACACTCATCATGTCACACATCTTGCTCTGTAGATACTGTTCTAGGTTACACTAATTTGCAAGAGGAAATCAGAAGAAAATAAAATAAATCTGTTTCCAGAACATTCTTGCAATTTCCCATTGAGACTGGTACATAATAGAACAAGACATTATCAGGTATTGGATCCATTCAACACCGTTTGTTATTTTAACATTGTGAGAAAATATTAACATATGTCAGATGTGCCAAGAATTCCATTTAATGAAATTACTGTTTCTTGATCAAATACGTATGTTAAATCATCAGAATCTGTCTGTATCAACCTACTAACAAATATTATGTACTAACTAACAACTATCATATACTTTACTAACAAGTGTCATATACTGTACCTGAATATTTGATGAAGAGTTAAGTTTTAGTTATAATTCAAGTTAAACAGCATCTACCTGGGTATTCTTACACAGTGAGATATGTATGGATATGATGGGAACTGCTCTATCATTAAATAAAAGAACTGTTGACAGTACAAGCACTGTATTTCCTACCTCCAGGACTCAAGTCTGGCTAACCAGTTTCCCTGAATCCCAATGTGACATGTTTTGCATTATTTTATTACATTAACCAACCCCACCAGGGCAAGTGTGTGCCAATGGGATGCGACAATGTGATTGGCTCTGCAATGCAAGAAGACGACTGTGGAGTGTGTGGTGGGGATGGTGCCACCTGCCATCACCACAATTTCGACTACAATGATGTTCCTCCACCAGGTTAATACTTGCATAAATTTGTAATGAATTATCGAACCCACCTTCAGTTGACAGGTTTAGGGGGAGCACTAAACCCCAAAGGGTCATGCAGCACCTTACAAATTGGAGGTAATTAGCCCTGATCTGAGGAAATGGTGGGTAGCCTCAGTTCCTCTGGTCACTGGTAGTGGGTGTAAGATTTCTGCCCAAGATTCAAAACCAGGACTTTGGGCTTTATGATGACCTAAAATTATATCCCATGCAAGTGTTTCTTCCATTCTGATTACATAATAGTAAATTTACATGAGAGTTGCTTCAAAGATTTGTGTCAAAGCCAAAGATTTATTTCTGCATGATAAATGTTTGTACAGAGATGGGTGACATTTGGTTGTACATGTAGAAATCCCATAGTTATGGAAAGCATTTCAGGCAAGCTTAAGGGGCACATAAGTTCCCCCATCTTGTAATAACATGTTTATCTTTCCACTATAATCTACCTTGTCCATAATTACTACCGCATTTACTTCGTCTGTTTTGTAAGGTGAAGTCCAGGATCTTTCCCGAATTCATGGATAACTTAACAATTGTGTTGTAGACAATTGCGTTGTAGACAGCAGTTGTGTTGTAGAGGTGTGAGCTTTGCTCAGACCTCTACAACACTATTGTTAAGTTTATACCATGAATTAAGGAAAGATCCTGGACTTCACCTTACGAAACAGACGAAGTAAATGCGATAGTAATTATGGACAAGGTAGATTATAGTGGAAAAGTGAACATGTTATTAGAAGACTTGTGTGCCTCTTAAGCCTAACCTAAGACTACAATGGCAATAATTATTTGCTTATATTTATGGATGTTAAAGGTAAAGAAACAATAAATTCAGGGTGGCATATAAAAAGCGCGTATATATTGCAATGTTTTAATCCAATTCTTTGTTAGCAGACTACAGCTTGGTGGCTATCCTGCCAGCTGGTGCACACAACATCATGATTAATGAAGAAACACCATCTGGGAACTTCCTAGCCCTTGCTGATAACTCCTCTGTTTTCTTCCTTAATGGAGGCAGCAGTCAAGAACCATCTAAAACCTTTATCAGTAAGATCTTAATCCTCTCATACAGTGTTTTGGAATAAATTTGGATGTGTGGTAATGATGATTGGTTAGAATTACTTTTTTTTAACACACTGGCCGTCTCCCACCAAGGCAGGGTGACCCGAAAAAAGAAACACTTTCACCATCATTCACTCCATCACTGTTTTGCCAGAGGCATGCCAATACTTAAGTTCAGGTGCCCCTCCAAACTGAAATATCTCTGCCCTTCCTTCAGAGTGCAGGCATTGTACTTCCCATCTCCTGAACTCGAGTCTGCTTAACCAGTTTCCATGAATCCCTTTACAAAGTGTTACCATGTTTGCACTCCAACCACTCATCAATTACATTATTCTTTTTTAGCACCATTGATCTCCCACCAAGATAGGGTGATAAAAACAAATAAAAAATACATAGAGATGCATGACATTATCGTAGGGGTTCTTAAATGGAGATGTCGAGGGTTGAAGGTAGACACACTTGTTGGATGGTAACATATATTGTCAGACTGAGATGAAGAGGAATGGAGCCCAGCCTTGCCGTGTTCTAGTCTGGATGGTCTGCCGCCGAGTGAGAGGGAGGCAGAGGTACGAGCCTACACATGCGCATCCCGTGACGTCACACAAAGTCACAGGCCTACAAGGGATCTCCTATCTAAAGCACATGGATGATACTAATATGCTATGCTATATAACACAGGGATCAGCAACTATGCTGACAACATAGGTGAATGATATGTTAGAGAGAGAGAGAGGTCAGGGTGTTGAGGGAAGGACATATGTAGGAAGATAGACAGGGGTAACAAAAAAAGGCACAATACCGTGACTGGAACGATACACAAATAACCCGCACATAGAAGAGAGGAGCTTACGACGACGTTTCGCTCCTCTCTTCTATGTGCGGGTTATTTGTGTATAGACAGGGGTCACAGTCAATGTAAAATCATGAGGCAATTAAGAATTTTTTTTAACACCAGTCATCTCCCACTGAGGCAGGGTGACCTAAAAAAGGACTTTTTAGGTCACCCTACGGACAGGAGAAGGGGCTACTAGCCCCTTGTTCCTGGCATTTTAATCACCTCTTACAAGCTACTGTAGGGCCCCACTTATACAGCAGGTTAGGTTCCAGGCTATTGCTGTACAGGAGGGCCCTACTTATGCAGCAGGTTAGGTTCCAGGCTATTGTTGTACAAGAGGGCCCTGTTTATAAAGGAGGTTAGGTTCCAGGCTATTGTTGTACAAGAGGGCCCTGCTTATAAAGGAGGTTAGGTTCCAGGCTACTGCTGTACAGAAGGGCCCTGTTTATAAAGGAGGTTAGGTTCTAGGCTACTGCTGTACAAGAGGGCCCTGCTTATAAAGGAGGTTAGGTTCCAGGCTACTGCTGTACAAGAGGGCCCTGCTTATAAAGGAGGTTAGGTTCCAGGCTACTGCTGTACAAGAGGGCCCTGCTTATAAAGGTGTTAGGTTCCAGGCTACTGCTGTACAAGAGGGCCCTGCTTATAAAGGAGGTTAGGTTCCAGGCTACTGCTGTACAAGAGGGCCCTGCTTATAAAGGAGGTTAGGTTCCAGGCTACTGCTGTACAGAAGGGCCCTGCTTATAAAGGAGGTTTAGGTTCCAGGCTACTGCTGTACAAGAGGGCCCTGCTTATAAAGGAGGTTAGGTTCCAGGCTACTGCTGTACAAGAGGGCCCTGCTTATAAAGAAGGTTAGGTTCCAGGCTACTGCTGTACAAGAGGGCCCTGCTTATAAAGAAGGTTAGGTTCCAGGTTACTGCTGTACAGAAGGGCCTCACTTATACAGCAGGTTAGGTTCCAGGTTACTGCTGTACAAGAGGGCCCTGCTTATAAAGGAGGTTAGGTTCCAGGCTACTGCTGTACAAGAGGGCCCTGCTTATAAAGGAGGTTAGGTTCCAGGCTACTGCTGTACAAGAGGGCCTGCTTATAAAGAAGGTTGGGTTCCAGGTTACTGCTGTACAAAAGGGGCCTCACTTATACAGCAGGTTAGGTTCCAGGTTACTGCTGTACAAGAGGGCCCTGCTTATAAAGAAGGTTAGGTTCCAGGTTACTGCTGTACAGAAGGGCCTCACTTATACAGCAGGTTAGGTTCCAGGCTACTGCTGTACAGAAGGGCCTCACTTATACAGCAGGTTAGGTTCCAGGCTACTGCTGTACAGAAGGGCCTCACTTATACAGCAGGTTAGGTTCCAGGCTACTGCTGTACAGAAGGGCCTCACTTATACAGCAGGTTAGGTTCCAGGCTACTGCTGTACAGAAGGGCCTCATTTATTACAGCAGGTTAGGTTCCAGGCTACTGCTGTACAGAAGGGCCTCACTTATACAGCAGGTTAGGTTCCAGGCTACTGCTGTACAGAAGGGCCTCACTTATACAGCAGGTTAGGTTCTGAGCTACTGCTGTAAAGCAAAAATTGCTATAAAGTGAAATGCATATAAAAGCCCATCATATATTAAGTGAGCAATAGAGCTAGGCTTAATAAATATGTATACAGTACACATTACTTACCTTAAAATATTTTCGTCCTTAGCTTATAGTGAGTGGTAAATATATTTATTGTAGGAAGTCTGAATAAATGAAGAATGACTGTAACTGAAAACCACTGCAGTAGCAAAGCGCTGTAAAGCGAAGCGCTCTAAAGCAGGACTTGCCTGTACCAGGACTTAAGATGTTACTAGCTAAGCAAGTACAGTGGACCCCTGGTTTACGATCAACTCCCAATGTGACCAATTATGTAAGTGTATTTATGTAAGTGCGTTTGTACGTGTATGTTTGGGGGTCTGAAATGGACTAATCTAATTCACAATATTCCTTATGGGAACAAATTCGTCGTAATGGCACCTTGAACATACTTCTGGAATGAAATAATATCGTAAACCGGGGTCCACTGTATTTACCTGTTCAGTGGACCCGGTTAACGAACTTTTCATTCAGTAGATGTTCAGGTGCATTATGACCGAATTTTTCCATAATGGAATATTGTGAAGTAGATTAGTCATTTCAGACCCCAAACATACACGTTAAAAAGCACTTAACATAAATACACTAACATAATTGGTCGCATATTGGAGGTGATCGTTATGCGGGGATCCACTGTATTTACCTGTAAATGTCTATAATTAGTTACTCTTCATTGAGATCCATTATAGCATTATTCTTATTGAGATACATTATAGTAGTATTTTGTGATTTTTTAAAGATTGTTAAAACTAGTGAATAGATGAAACTACAGTAATGTGAATAAACAAAAGGGTAGACAAGGGGCCCAGACCATGGTCCATAAATTAACAGTCCGACACTCTACCATTCCAGCCTCTCATCCATCATTCTGTTTATTCATTGACAGTTTTTTATTACAACTTAATATGAGTCTACAGTAGTGTTTAAAGTGTATAACTATACACAAATATCCTCCATATATGAGAAAGGAACTTACAATAACATTTCAGTCCGACTTGGACTGTTAACTAGTCACAACATTCTCCTATGTGCAGGTTACTGTGAATTGTTCCAGCCACAGTATTGTGCATTTTTATTCTTGAATTGGTTTAGCACTTCTTTTTTATTATAATAAATATATAATAATAATAATCTTTTTTCTTTCTTTCAAACACCAGCGTATCCACCGAGGTGGGTGGCCCAAAAGGAAAAAAAAGTTCTCTTCATATTTAGTAATATAACAGGAGAAGGGGTTACTAGCCCTTGCTCTGGCATTTAGTCGCCTCTACAACGCATAGCTTACGGAGGAAATTCTGTTCATTCATGGAGAGTAAGAGGAAATAAACAGAACAGAGCTATAAGAAATAAGGATAACCAGAGGGTGTGTATACATATGCTGTACATGTATTGTAGTGTGACTAAGTGTAACAGAAGTAGCAAGACGTACCTGAACTTGGGACTGTTTATGAGACAGAAAAACACCGCAATCTCATCGTGTAAACATTAAGCTTAGTTTACACCACGTTGGCAGACGGTTATACTCTGGGCGGTTGCTGTTACCAACTCTACTTATATATATAATAATAATAATAATAATAATAATAATAATAAAATTCTTCAAGTGTTTTACTAATTTGACTAATTGAGGGTGGTGTTGCACAGGTGAGGGCGCCAAGTTCTTGTACAACAGCCAGGGTGAACGTGAGAGGCTACAAGCAAGAGGACCTCTTCTTGGATCTATCTACATCATGGTTAGATCTTTTATTTTTTATTTTTTTTACATGATGTGAGTGCCAGCTTAAGCACCATTGGGTTTGTGAATAAATGGTTTAGAAAATGAACAAGTTGATAAATAAGACACCTTTACAACATTTGGGAATGTTTTATTCTAGAAACATTTTCCAGCTTTTTCTCAGATCAGCTGGGGATTTGAACCTCAGAATTCTGCAGAATTCATATATTGTACACAGCACCTCCTTTTTTTTTTATATGCTGACTGTCTCCCACTGAGGCAGGGTGACCTGAAAAAGAAGAAACACTTCCACCATTATTCACACTATCACTGTCTTGCCAGAGAAGTACAGATACGACAGTTTAGATGTCACTTTAAATGGCAGATATCCCAAACCCATTCTTTAGATTACTAAAAATAAGAAGAAATTTCTGTATATCTTTCTTTCAACACACTGGCCGTATCCCACCGAGGCAGGGTGACCTAAAAAGAAAAACAAAAGTTTTTCTTTTTAAATTTGGTAATTTATAAAAGAGAAGGGGTTACTAGCCCCTTGCTCATGGCATTTTAGTTGAAATTTCTGTACGTCTTTAAATATTTATCTTTCAGGTCCATGGCATGAGAGAACCAGAATCAGTACGTATTACAACTACCTACCTGACGCAGCTGAAGCAGGAGCACTATCAATGGGAGGTGGGCCCACTCACTGCCTGCTCTGTCACCTGTGGAGGGTGAATACCATTTATTTGACCCTACATTGATTGTTTATCAATTTATTATAGATTTAAATTATTTTTGTGTGAGCAAATATTAATTAACCCTTTCAGGGTTTTCAACATACTAGTACAGCTTACGCACCAGGGTTATTGACTTACTAGTACGCCTAAATTCTAGCGCCTTCAAATCTAGCGAGAGAAAGCTGGTAGGCCTACATATGAAAGAATGGGTCTATGTGGTCAGTGTGCGCACTATAAAAAAAAATCCTGCAGCACACAGTGCGTAATGAGAAAAAAAAAACTTTGTGTTTTTTGGATTAAAACAGCGACTTTGCACTGTATTTTCGTATGGTATTTATGGTTGTATTCTAGTTTTCTTGGTCTCATTTTATAGAATGGAAGACATATTACAGAAATTGAGATGATTTTGACTGGTTTTACAATAAAAAGTACCTTGAAATTGAGCTCAAAGTAGCAGAAATGTTCGATTTTTACCAAAGTTCAAAAGTAAACAAATCATGCCAAGCGTCCAATACACGTCAACTGGTGAGTCTGATATTCTTTCACAAGTGCGCTGATATTATTTATACCATTTCTACACTAATGCAGTAGTCTGCATAACAGTAAATCTTCTATTTTTTGTAAGAATAAAAATTCAAACTGGAAAGCAAAAGAAATATAAGAGGGGCCTGGGGACATGATTAACGAACAGAGAACTTGTTATTTTAGTGCCAGGAATGTCTTTCTTGTTTATTCTGGACCCTGTTTGGAAATTGGCATCTTTTGAAATTTGTGTGAAATTGGCAAAATTGCCAATTTCTAACCACTTTATTGGATAGTTGAAATTGGTAAATGGGTGGTTTCTTGTACTCATTCAATAGAAAAAATAGAGTTCTAGTGGAATAAATATGATTTTTGTCGACTAGTACACAGGAATTGGCCAAAAATAGGGCTCAAAGTGGGAGAAATCGCCGATGCGTAAACATCGGCGAGACCGCTAACTTCGCGAGAGCATAATTCCATAAGTTTTCCATCAAATTTCATACTTTCGGTGTCATTATGATCGGGAAAAGATTCTCTATCATTTCATAAGAAAAAATAATTTTGGTTTTTTCCGAAAAATTTTCGACTCTGAGAACAAGTTCAGGAGAGGGCCTCTCAACCCTGAAAGGGTTAAATATATTTTAACTGAATATAGACAAACAAAAAAAATTTAATGTAACATAATTGCAGAAGCTGTTATCTGACAGTACAGTAATAGTATTAGTCTTGTTTATCCTGTATGTTTTCAAGTGTTAAATATATAAAGCAGAAGTGTCTTATGTATGGGAACTGTAAAGAAATCTTCAGTGCCATTTTTCTCTCGTTATTATCGGCAGCGGTGAACAACATGAAACCTTAGTATGCCGGGATCGCCGCACTGATGCTCAGGTGTTCCACAACAGCTGTCAGCACCTGCCACGCCCTTCACTCAACACTACAACCTGCAACACCTTTGGGTAAGTTGCCCTGTTATTTGAGTACGTTTGTAAAAGTACACAATGCACAAATAACCCACTATAGGAGAAAGAAAGTTATGATAATGTTTGGCTGTAACTTGACCCATTAACTAGTCACACACTAACACATGAAGGGAAGGGAACCAGTACTAGTAGGTAATAAGTTAATTATGAAACAAAGAATGGTAAGGAAGGACCTTCAGTAGTGGTAATAATAATTCTTTATTTCTACATGATACAATGTTTGTACAAAGGTGAATGACGTTTGGGTGTACATGCAGAAAGACCTTTTATATGCAGAGCATTTCGGGCAAACTTAAGACTAACTTGAGATTTATAAGACAATAATAATACGTATAAGTAATTTTATATATACAGTCACTTGGGTGAGTGTAAGTACAAAGTTAAGTGTTTATAATGAATGCAAGAGAACACACTATGCATGTTAATTACAAAGACAGCCACTGTCATGCATATTGTGGGCAGACTAATCCTAATGCTAACAGACTACTCAAAGCTAGACATAGGTTATGGAGTGTATTAAATAAATGAACCAGTAAAAAATTATAATTAGAAAAAATTATGCAGGTCCATATCCGTTTATCCAAAACCATTGGGGCCAGTAGTGTTTCGAATTTCAGAATTTTTTGAATTTCAGAATGTTGGGTTTGGCGGCGTGACCCAGCACTGAGATGACTGACACTCCACAAAAAAACTTTGGTTTTCCAAATTTTTCGAATTTCAGAATGCTGGGTCGGGCCACCATGTGGTGGTGTGACCCAGCACTGAGATGACACACTCCACACTCCATGAAAAAACTCCGGTTTTCGGAACTTTTCAAATTTCGGATAAAGGGATGTGGACCTGTAGTAGAGGGGTAGCAAAAAAATTATTACAATTAGTACAATTTAAATTGTACAATTTTAGGTGTGTATTAATACTTTAAATTGATTTAGTGATTAAAGGTTAACTGGGATTTCTTGAGTTAATGGAGAAAGAATTATTATTACTAAGTTGGTGGGGTTGTACTGAGATAACAAAGTTTAAACTTATTACTACAACAAAAATGCAAAAATTTTTGACTTAGAGATTATGGCTTAAAACAGAGATACAGGTAATTAAAATATACTCTATATTAAACTGCTGTATTTTAAAGCAATACTTTAGTATGCAGTAATGTATATTTCTTTTTAAGCAAAACACATTGTAAACTGTATCATGCCTTTAATTTTTTGAAAGTGCCATCATGTTTGCTCTTATCTTGAAATATAATTAAATAACTTAACATTTTTTGCATAACATGAAATCATCATAAGAGTTGCAAATAAACCAAGGAACAGGTGAGGTTTGAACCCATGGATTAAACGGATTATAATAAAGGGGGAAGCGCTAAACCCGGAGGATTATACAGCGCCTGGGGGGGATGTGGAAGGCATTCAGGCTTAATTCGGGGAACTGGAGCACAGATCCAATTCCCTAAATCAAGAGCCCCTCACCAACATCAAGGAACCTTCCTTGAGGGGTTTGAACCCATGGAGTTTTAGGACTCACTCATCATGGATTTGAACCCAACCAGTTCCATGGTTTGTTTTTGCATAGAGCATTATAATAGCATGAAGTATATTTTTCCCAAGGTGTGAAGCAAAGTGGATGACAGGTCCATGGGAACACTGCTCCACTACTTGTGGTCCCAGTGGTGTGCAGGAGCGTGTGGTGTCATGTGTGAGTCTTCCAGAAGCAGACACTGACAACTGGACAGCTGGGATTGTAGATCCAATAAGATGCAGTGCAGACCCCATGCCTGAAGCACAGAGGGAGTGTCTCCGGGACCCTTGTTCAGCACATTGGACACCAGTTGGCTGGAGCGAAGTGAGTAGTAGTGTGTGTCTTGGGGGACACCCTTGTCCATCACATTTAATATCTCTTTTTTTTTTTTTTTTTTTTTTTTTTTTTTTAACACACTGGCTGTCTCCCATCGAGGCAGACCCGAAAAAAAGCGCTTTCACCATCATTCACACTTTCACTGTCTTGCCAGAGCCGAGCAGATACGACAGTTTAGATGTCCCTCCAAATAGCAAATATCCCAAATCCCGCTTCACACACGGAGGGCCTGGGTTCGATTCCCGGCGGGTGGAAATTCCGACACGTTTCCTTACACCTGTTGTCCTGTTCACCTAGCAGCAAATAGGTACCTGGGTGTTAGTCGACTGGTGTGGGTCGCATCCTGGGGGACAAGATTAAGGACCCCAATGGAAATAAGTTAGACAGTCCTCGATGACGCACTGACTTTCTTGGGTTATCCTGGGTGGCTAACCCTCCGGGGTTAAAAATCCGAACGAAATCTTATCTTATCTTATCTTAAAGTGCAGGCAGGACTCTCCAACTGGTAATTCTTATGCCAGTAATACATTATTCTTTTTTCTGATGCTACCTGCATTATTTTCATTCTTGGCACTGTGAAGGCAAATTTTATGCAAGACAATCCTGATTTAGACACATGCAACATCTGGGTATCTTTATTTGTAGACGTTTTGCCAACCAGTAACTTTATCAGTACAGTACAAGGACATAATGTGAAGAATGTATAACTCTATACAAAAGATGAGGTAATCAGTCCCTCTTCACCAACTTCAAGGCTGAGAGACTGATTACCTCATCTTTTGTATATAATTCTACATTCTTCACATTATATCCTTGTATTGACAAAACCACTGGTTGGCAAAACGTCTACAAACAAAGATACCCAGATGTTGCACATGTGTCTTAATTCTTCATCTTGTCAGTATTATATACCAGTCACATAAACTCTTGATTAAACTTTTACTGGCCTTGCAGTGCTCCAGCAGCTGCGGCGAAGGAGTGGAGACACGACTGTGGGAGTGTACTGGCGGAGGAGGGAACGAAGTAACGTATGACTGTGGTCCTCGACCACACCAGGTGAGGGTGTGTATCAAGCCTTCCTGTCCACCTGCTCCCTGTCTTCGGGATGCTTCAGCATTCTGCCAGCTACCAGTGTTACACAGATACTGTCAAGTGCCGAAGTACCATGAACTGTGCTGTCATACATGTGGTAATGTAGTATATTAACACACGAACCCTCACTTATTTATGAAATATATGTAGCAAGAGTATCAGAAAAAGAGACAGCATTAGTGCGCCCAAAATGCCATCTGTATATTAGTGTCCATATCTCACTGTTTAGATGTTGGACCTACTAACACTTCCTGGTAGTTAAGTGTTTTAAATGACATTATTTTGCCTGCAAAAAGTGATATACATTCTACAAAACTGTATGTGTAGGAGAAAACTCCCCCCTTCCCCCCAAGCTAAAGTCATGCAGTGCAGTGTATTTTGATCTGAAGACTGAAGAAGGCATTCTTATCATTGCCTTAAACCTCATTGCTCTTCACTGCTGACGTAATGGGCAGGACCCCCACAAATATTTAGTGAAGGAATCCATTCGTTAAGAGGTCCCCCTTACAGAAAAATGGCACAATATCATGACTGGAACAATACAGAAATGACTCACACATAGGAGAGAGAGAGAGAGTATCTTGTGATGATGCTTTGGTCTGACTTGGACCATGTACAAGCCACACTGTGACTTGTAAATGGTCCAGGTCGAACATGTTGTCATAAGCTTCTCTCTCCTATGTGCGGGTTATTTATGTATAGATTTTTCCCTTCACAAAATAGCAACTTTCAATTACTCAACTCGTGTTCAAATTGTCGGTGTGCTAGTTGGCCAACTATTGCAACATTTCAATCAGTTTGTTGTGACAAATGTAGCAATATATATATTTAAAAGAGTATGATAGTTACTTGACTGGTGTAAGGTATTTTTCCACTCTAGTTGGCTGAGCTGTCCACCATATTGTTGACCAGGTTCCTGGCTGGATGACACCTGCAGAATATTATTGACTAAGTGTTTTATCTGCTTGATCAATGCAGAGTATTGCTAGTCAGGCAGTGAGAAAGGACCATTTGCTGTGAAACAGAGACTACTGTGGAACAGAGACTGTTTACTGTGGAACAGGAAGACTGTTTACTGTGGAGCAGAGACTGTTTACTGTGGAGCAGAGACTGTTTACTGTGGAACAGAGAGACTGATTACTATGGAACAGAGAGACTGATTACTGTGGAACAGGAAGACTGTTTACTGTGGAACAGGAAGACTGTTTACTGTGGAACAGGAAGACTGTTTACTGTGGAACAGGAAGACTGTTTACTGTGGAACAGGAAGACTGTTTACTGTGGAACAGGAAGACTGTTTACCGTGGATCCTTCATCATGATGTTTATTCCAAGGCTGGAGTTTATCAATACATTATATATAAAACACACAGATATATGGCCTCATAAGGCAAACAAGAATCCTGAGGTCAGGCTCAGCAGAAATCACAGGTGAGGTCATAAGGAGACAGAACTCAAACAATGTACATCTAACATCAATGCTATACAGTACCTGCAAGTTGATTAGTATTGATCAGTGTACATATTGTTTGAGTTACACATCTCTTGACATCACATCTTACCTCACTTGTGACCTCTCCTGATCCTGACCTCTGGGTACTCGTTTGACTTATAAGGTTGTGTATCAGTGTGTTATTGTATCAGGTGCGTCTCACTTTATGATGGTTTGACATACGATATTTTTATTTTACAGTGGTGTGATATGTGCACATTCAGTACTGTATAGTAATTCAAAATCAAAGTTTTTATTTCTTTGTGTAGTATACAGAGTGTAGTTTACATACATGTTGTAATAAAGTATTGTTAAACACAAAGAAAGCTACTAGCAAGTGTGAGCATTTATTTACTTTTAAATACTGGTATTTAGTTACAGTAATTATTTGTTTATTTGCTTATTAGTGACAGTAGTTATTTATTACTTATATATCCATATTCGACTTACGATATTTCCAACTTACAATGGGTTCGTGGGAACATAATCCATCGTCAGTCGAGGAGCACCTGCACTGTACTCTATGAAGTCTGGTCCTGGAGCAAACATGGTAATACTAGCTTCACGGCAGTCTCTTTCTCACTACCTGTTGGCTTACACCATTGTTCACCTAGGTTAATTGTTTGCCCATTGTGTCGGGTAATTGACCCCCATATTCAAGGGTCGTGTAATGTGTCAAGTGTTTGACCAATGTCAAGTGGTTGTCAGGCACACCACATGACCTCTTTATTTAATATTCATTTAATATAAAGTTTTTAATAATGTGTTATGTGATGACCAGTTGTCAGAATGCTGTTTTGTAGGATGAAGTTTGTCATGCTAAGACGGAGCAGTATGTGTCGTATTTGTATGAGGAAGCACTGAACCCGTAGGAGTCAAACAGTGCTTAAAGAATGGAAGGTAATCAGATTTAATCCAAAGAAAAGGTGAGTAACTCCACCTCACTGGATCAAGAGTCTTTCACTAGCATAAAGACACCTTCCCTTGACGGGAGTAATGTGTGTAGTACCTTACCACTGTGTCGTTCAATTGACAAATGTGTTCAGTAGTTTACGTACTTTTACATGCCTTTGGCCTCTTGTGTTGGACATGTGGCCTCTTTATATTGGATATGTGGCCATTATAACCTGGTAGTTATTAAATACTGGGATGGTTGAATAATATGCTGTCTGGTTGATCAATGTTGAGTGGTTGATTAACATGATCACTGTCTGGTAGTATGTTGTTAACCAGTATGTGTCAATACTTGACACAGCATGTTGGGTAGTTCCACAGTATATGTATTAGGTAGTACTTGAGTATTTTGTTGGGTAGTTTATCATATGTTGGATAGTACCACAGTATAAACCATACCACGGGCGGGATTGAACCCGCGGTCAGAGAGTCTCAAAACTCCAGACCGTCGCGTTAGCCACTGGACCAGCTAGCCACAATAAGTTTTGAGACTCTCTGACCACGGGTTCAATCCCGCCCGTGGTATGGTTTGTTTGCAATCGTGTCATTACGATTTCGTGAGTCACGTACCACAGTATTTTTGGTATCTCTTATTAATTAAGTAATGCCATGGTATGTTATGTAGTTTCATAGTGTGGCGAGTATTCACAAAATCATAACATGATTGCAAACAAACTAGGGAACAGGTGGGCTTCAAACCCCACCCATCCCCTGATTTGCTTATGTTATGATATGTTGTGTAGTTTGTTAATATAACAGTTGTAGTAGTTGATCAGGATGTTTTATACAGTAGGCCCTCCTGTATCCTTGGGGATAAGTTCCAAGACCTACCATGGATACTTGAAACCATGGATGGTAGTGAACCCTATGTGCAAGTCATGTTTCATTTACATACATACCTACGAAGAAGTTTAATTGATAAATTATGCACAGTTAGTCGAGAATTACACTTTTTCACTGATGGGAAGCACTTCACGATTTCCCTTACGATTTGAAGAACTGTCACCATCGCTCTTTTACACTTTAATGCAGTTATTACGCAAAATTAAGGTTTTTTTCGGGCTAGGTTAAACAGCGGATAACTGAAACCGCAAAAACTGGACCCGCGGTTATGGCGGTCCTACTGTATACAGTAAAGTGTGCCAAGTAGTTAGGTAGAGCATCAGTATGTTAGGTAGTTCATTAGCATATTAAGTGACTACATACTGTTAGTTACATGTGTTTACCAGTAGTCAGCTAGTTCAATACAGTAATATTCTATCTCAGTTGATCAATATTAAAGGCGCAGTTGATCACTCTATCAGGAAATTAAACAGTATTTCTATTTTTACATTGACTAGCATGATAGATAGTTGATTAGTATGTGAGGTAATTAGTTTGTGAGATAATTACTTAGTATGTGAGGTAGTTACTTAGTATATGAGGTGAGTAATAAGCAGGTGAGTAAGGTGAGTGATGTACTCAGTGGTTGACCAGCAGTTTGTTCTTCACACTTCATTTCCCACAAATTATTTATAAAATTAATTTTATACTTTCACTTGAGTTGGAGTTAAACCAATGTTTATTGAGTAATTCGGTTTATGAACGCAGGTTTCATGTTAAACCGATATTGGTCAATTAATTTGGTTCATAAACACAGGTTTTATGTTGGTAATTTCTTGTGTTTACTTCACTTATTAACCCTTTCAGGGTCCAAGGCCCAAATCTGGAGTCATGCACCAGTGTCCAAGAATTTTCAAAAAAAAAAATTGTTATTTTTTCTTATGAAATCGTAGAGAATCTTTTTGTGAAGGTAATAAAACAAAAAGTACGAAATTTGGTGGAAAATTGACGAAATTATGCTCTCGCGAATTTTGATGTGTCAGCGATATTTACGAATCGGCGATTTTGCCGACTTTGACTCCCATTTTAGGCCAATTACATTATTCCAATCAACCAAATTCTTAGCTATTTCACTAGTATTACTTCTATTCTATCGATTGAGCACAAGAAATCGCCAAGTCAACTGTTTCAACTACAAAATAAAGTGATCGGAAATTGTTAATTTGGCCAATTTAACACAAAGTTCAAAATATTCCAGTTTCAAAATAGGGTCCAGAATGAACAATGTAGGCATTCCTGGCACTAAACTAACATTTCCTCTGTTCATTAGTTATGTTTTGAGGCTTTACAAATAAATTCCATTTTGATTTTTTATTCACATAATGAATTTTTATTCACACCAAAAAATAGAAGATTTACTGTTATGCAATACTGTAATAATTGTATAAATATCATCACCATATTTGTGAATGTATATTAGACCCCACAGCTGGTGTGTATTAGACGTGTGAGGTCGTTTGTTTACTCTTGAATATCGGCAAAAATTTAACATTTGCTACTTTGGAGCTCAGTTTCAAGCCATTTCCAGTGCTAAAACCAATCAAAATCATCTCTATTTCTGTAATATGTCTTCCATTCTATCAAATGAGACCAAGAAATCGCAAATACAACTATAAAAACATACGAAAAAACACTGCAAAGTTGCTGTTTTAATCGAAAAATCATGATTTCATTTTTTTTCTCTCATTATACACAGTGTGCTGCAGGATCTGTTTTATGTGGTGCACACATACCACATAGATGTATTCTCATCATATCTAGGCCCAAATGTACCACTCACAGTTTATCAGAGTGAGCTGAGCTCATGGCGTAGATCTACGGTTTGGACCCTGAACGTAAAGCCGTAGATCTACGGGACGGACCCTGAAAGGGTTAACTTATAAAAATTGCATATGTACATATGGGGAAATGGGGATATATAAACTGTGTACGTATTAATATTTTTTACAAAAGCTATATTACATTCAGTATTTGAGACTAGATTTAAGGTAATTACTTAGTATCAATCTTTGTATCATTGGACAACAAATCAATACAGTAGTATCTTGTAGTTGTGTGTGTCAAATAATCAGTAAGATTGCTAAATGGTTGAACAGTGTGTCCACTGGTCAACCATGGTATCAGTCAATTTCTATTATAATAAGGTTGACTAAGCAATAGTGTTGTGTTATATGATCTGGTAATTTGTTTCATTAGGTAGCCCTTGTGTTGTTGTGTCTAGTGATAGATTTAAAAAATGTTGATGTTGCTTGGTGAATATAAATAAAACCCTCATCACTTCTGTAGTTTAATGGCAGCCTGTATGTAATTGTTGCTATTCTGTTCATGCAAGAGCACTAAATACGTAGGGGTCATTGAGCACCTGGGAAATGGGAGGTAGATCTGGTTTCATCCAAGGAATAAAAGTGTATCTTCAATAATTGGTTCAATAGCCCCATTGGGAGTTACTGTATCAATGCTGTACCACTGTATGACTTGTTACGTACTTGCCACCATGGTAACTTTGGACTTGCTCTAGAATACCTCTGTTTTGTGTTTGTGTACTCACCTAATTGTGGTTGCAGGGGTCGAGACTCAGCTCCTGGCCCCGCCTCTTCACTCATCGCTTCTAGGTCCTCTCTCTCTCTGCTTCCTGAGCTGTATCATACCTCTTCTTAAAACTATGTATGGTTCCTGCCTCCACTACTTCACTTGCTAGGCTATTCCACTTCCTGACAACTCTATGACTGAAGAAATACTTCCTAACGTCCCTGTGACTCGTCTGAGTCTTCAGCTTCCAGTTGTAACCCCTTGTCCCTGTGTCCCCTCTCTGGAACATCCTATCTCTGTCCACCTTGTCTATTCCTTGCAGTATCTTGTATGTTGTTATCATGTCTCCCCTGACCCTTCTGTCCTCCAGTGTCGTCAGTCCGATTTCCCTCAACCTTTCCTCGTACGACATTCCCCTGAGCTCTGGGACTAGCCTTGTTGCAAACCTTTGTACTTTCTCTAACTTCTTGACATGCTTGACCAAGTGTGGGTTCCAGACTGGTGCTGCATACTCCAGTATGGGCCTAACATACACAGTGTACAGTATCTTGAACGATTCCTTATTAAGGTATCGGAACGCTATTCTCAGGTTGCCAGGCGCCCGTATGCTGCAGCAGTTATTTGGTTGATGTGTGCCTCCGGTGATGTGCTCGGTGTTTGTGTGTGTGTATGTGTGTACACATGTATGTTTGTATGTATTAGATGACATCAAAAATATTGAGTGCTTGATAACACTATAGTTCCCAGGGAAACAGGCCCTTAATAATTAGCACAAATCATTGCTTGATAGCTGAACGAAAAGCAAATTGAAAAGTGTCACATTGAGAGTCAGTGAGTGAGCACTATAACACTTAGCTGATGTATGGTGCTCTATTACCCATTCATTGCCTTCTCTACTTTATATATCATTTGCTTTATACATGTCACGTTGAATATTGTGTTCAGGAATTTTCTATCAAGAGCCACAAGCAGGAGACCAGGAAGGTTACCAGTTTTGGTCGTGAAGAATTTCCACAACAGGCAGTGTAAGCACAGCTGCCATACTCAGGATTTCCTAGTTTTCCACTGCATTATTGAGGTAAGTAGTATTCCCTTGTATCTTCAGCTTGGCAAGGTTAAAAATTAAGACATTTTAACCCCAGTGTTAAAGTTCAAGGTTACATGAAAACTTAAAAATGTATAATACCTCATTATGTTCTACATTTCTGTATTTTTTTCATTGCACCAGCTGTATCCCACTGAGGCAGGGTGACCTAAAAAGAAAAACTAGAAAAAATTAGTAATTTATACAGGAGAAGGGGTTAACTTTTCTGTACAAGTGATTAATGTAATTACAGTAGGACTTTATAATACTCCCTTTAAGTGAAGTAACTTGATGCTGTGATGGACACTTTATATCATCAATTAGCTGTATGACCCCTAGTAGGTTTAGTGCTTCCTTTTGATTATAATAATAATATCATTTAGACCTACCTTCTCCTTCCTCAGATTATACTTGCTCACCTTCCATTTTACAAGCATTGTAAGACCTTTGCATGTTTAGTGCTTCCTAACTTATATAATATTGTAATGTGGTACATTATTATTATTATTATTATGGGGAAGCACTAAACCCGTAGGATTATACAGCGCCTGTGGGGGTAATGTGGTGCAACATTACAGTGCTGTGTAAGGAACAGATTGTATCTTCTTAGTGATTACCTATTTGTTTCTGATGTCCTCTGGTTGTACCATACTACTACAGTGGTACCCCGAGTTTTGTACATAATTCGTTCCAGAAGGCTGTTCAAGTGCCGTTACCGAACAAATTTGTTCCCAAAAGGAATAATGTGAGTAAGATTAGTCCATTTCAATCCCCCAAAAATACACTTACAAAAGCACTTACATTATTATTATAATCAAGGGGGAAGCGCTAAACCCGGAGGATTATACAGCGCCTGGGGGGGGATATGTGGAAGGCATTCAGGCTTAATTCGGGGAACTGGAGCACAGATCCAATTCCCTAAATCAAGAGAAAGCACTTACAATAATACACTTACATAATTGTTGGAGTTGGAAGCTGTATGAAACTGGGTACCACTGTACTTGGTAATCCATTCCATTATTCTACCATTCTGTTTGCCAAGAAGTTTTCTACTGTACTTTTATCACCTCCTCATAACAATAGTAACAGAGGGACAAAAACAAAACACAAAATATTTAACATTTATTTAGCACAACTAACATAGCCTGATCATAAGCGTATTATGTTTACACATGGGCGATCAGTTTTTTCATACAGTTTAATTACATAGTTTTGTTAGATACATTGTACATGGAAGAAGGATATTACATTTAGCTCACAATTAACTTGCTTATGCATTTGGCTTTTCTAATAGCTATGGGTTTTAACATCAGTGAGGTGTTAGTAAATCTTGGTAACAGTTTAGATTCATTTGATGGAACTTACTGAACAGTGCTATTTTTAATATTTTAAGGAATGATATTAAATTTTTGAATTGTCGTAATTTTAGTGTGTATATGCTGATCAAGTGTGAGCTCATACTGTATAGTTTTGATTATTATTTAGATCATTCAACAGAAGTGTGTCAACCTCCATAGTCTAAGACTCTTCATCGTGCCACCAGCAGATATTCTATTGTTCCACCAATATTTCTAATAAGTTTTCAAGAGGAACCTGGACAGTAATCTGCTGCAAGTGCTTAATTAGTCTGGTTGTGATGACTGTGAGCCTGACCAGTCTCTGGCCATGTTGTACAGGAAGAAAAACCCTCAAAACCAGTCACAGGTATGTATGTTCATACTGTAGTTAACACACAGGATTGTATGTTCAGACTGTAGTTAACTCACAGGACTGTATGTTCAGACTGTAGTTAACTCACACAGTCCTGTGAGTTAACTACAGTCTGAACATACAGTCCTATGTTCAGACTGTAGTTAACTCACAGGACTGTATGTTCAGACTGTAGTTAACACAGGACTGTATGTTCAGACTGTATGTTCAGACTGTAGTTAACTCATAGATGTGAATTATATAAGCTACTATGGTATAATTCTTTATCTGTATAAGCAACAAATTATGAAAAAAGTGAACAGCTATTTAGAAATATTTTAATTATATAGAAATTATTTAAGAATTAAGCCTAAATATGATTATTGTATAACATTATTTAAATTATAATAGTAAACTTAGGCTAAGTTGCTCAATATTGTACTTACATAGAAGAATAAAAACAATGTGTTTCAGCATTAAAGCTTCACAATGAGACTTTTACATATTAGACAACCTTAGTTAATACACTGGTACAGTAAACCCTCGATGTAACGCACCTCTGTATAACCAACACTGGGAATACAAAATAAAGTCCACTTCATCAGTCGATTCAGAAACGTAGTATCTATTGTTTACAGAAAGGTCTGTAATTGGTACAATCGTGACATAACAATCTCGTCTCTATAAGCCACAATCGCCATTACCAGCCCCCTGCTTCCCCTTAGTACATTATATTGAGGGTTTACCATAGTTACACTATCCATCAATTTTTATCAGCTTTGAAATGTGGACAGTCCTAGACATTAAACATACATTATCATACCTGTATGGCCTAAAAAGTACAAATAAGAGAAGATAATTTATAAATTTTGTAAAAAGTATAATGTTTGGATTAGTGTCATAAGTGCTATTCAAAGAAAAGTTAAAAACCACTTGAACATCCTCTCCTGCTTAAAGAAAGGACCATGTCTACGTGTGCATGTAATAATGGCATACAGCACGAACAAGTTCA